GCCGGGGGGCGCCGGGAGAAGCACCTATACGTGAGCTGATTCTCCCCCCCCCCCCTGCTATTATCCCCCCCGGTCGCCCGGCCCGAGGAGCCTGTGCCAGCGCACGAGGTACAAACGGTGCCCTGAAGAAGGAACCCTTTTCGTTGGGGAGGGGCTCCATGTTCCTTGATTGCTTCACAGTTTGCCTTGGGTTTTCCTTTGGTTTCCGAAGGGAAATCGAAGTTCAACTTCTGGAGAAAAGGGGCCTCGTTCCTTATTTAGGGTTCCTTAGGTCAGCGCCCCGACTGTATGCCTACGGGGTGCCCCCCCGGGCGGCGGCCAGGAGCACGCTTGGACGCCCGGGCGCCGCGCACGAGGCGCCCCGGGAGCGCCCCCGCGGCCCCTCCTGCGGGGCGAGGGCCCCGAGCGCCCAGCCCGCGCACCGGGGCGCCCCCGGGGCGCCCCGTGGGGCCCCGCGGGGGCGGCGACGGGGCGACCACGGGGCCCCACGGGGCCCCACGAGGCGCCTCGTGGGGCCCACGGGCAGCGCAGGAGGCGCTTCGTGGGGCCCACGGGCAGCGCACGAGGCGGCCGCGGGGCGCCCGCGGGGCCCCACGAGGCGGCGGCCGGGGGGAAGACCAAAAAGCCCGTGCCAAGCATGCAGAGAATACTACTACTACTACTACTACTACTACTACTACTACTACTACTACTACTACTACTACTACTACTACTACTACTACTACTACTACTACTACTACTACTACTACTACTACTACTACTACTACTACTACTACTACTACTACTACTACTACTACTACTACTACTACTACTACTACTACTACTACTACTACTACTACCTACTACTACTACTACTACTACTACTACTACTACTACTACTACTACTACTACTACTACTACTACTACTACTACTACTACTACTACTACTACTACTACTACTACTACTACTACTACTACTACTACTACTACTACTACTACTACTACTACTACTACTACTACTACTACTACTACTACTACTACTACTACTACTAGTAGTAATAATAATAGTAGTAGTAATAATAATAATACTACTACTAATAATAATAATAATAGTAGTAATAATAATAACACTAATCATGATAATAATAATAGTACTAATAACGATAATACTACTATTAATACGGATACTAATAATAATAGTAACAGCATTAAGAAGAATAAGCATACTAATAATCATAAGAATAAGCAGAATAGTTCTAGTGAGAAGAAACATAAGAATAATAATCATAATATGAAGAATGATAAGAATAATAATAATAATAAGAAGGCAGAGCCCCTCAGTACCAGCACTTGTTTTGGGCAGGTGCGCAGCCTCCCCCTGCCATCCCATCCTGCGCCACGGGATCCTGCTCTGTCCCATCTCATCCCATCGTTGGTGTACTTGAGCGGTGGTTTTGCGCTTCGATGGTTTCGCTTGGAGTGGTCCTCCTGGTCCTTCTCGTGCTCCTCGTTGTTCCTCCTCTTCCGTCTCCTCCAGTCCTTCCTGCTCCCTCCCCTTTCCCTTCCCCCCACGTCCTACTCACTTTTACCCCCCTACCTCCCCTCCTGCTGCTTCCCACACTCCTCCTCCTCCTGCTTCTCTTCGTCCTTCTCCTGCTTCTCCTCACTTCCTCCTCGTCCTTCTCCTGCTTCCGCTCCTGCTCCTCCACTTCCTCATGCTCCCTTCTGCTGCTGCTGCTCCTCCTCCTTTGTCCTGGTCCTCCCCCTCCTCTTCCTCCTCCTCGTTCCTCTGCTCCTCGCCTTCCCCCTCCTCTGCCCTGTCTTCCTCCTCCTCCTCCTCCCCCTCCTCCTCCTCTTCCCCCTTCCTCCTGGTCTGGGCTGGTCGTGGGGCACCGAATTGGAGCGCGCTGCGGCTGCTCCCCGTGAGGCGAAGCCTCGCTGCGCGACGGTTCTCGGCCCCCCCCCCCAGGAGCCGCGACTGCCACGTCGCCGTCCCCCGTCCTTCTCCCCCTCCTCTCCTCCTCCTCCTCCTCCTCCTCCTCCTCCTCCTCCTCGTCCTCGTCCTCCTCCTCCTCCTCCTCCTCCTGCCTCCTCCTCCTCCTCCTCTCGTCCTCCTCCTCCTCCTCCTCGTCCTGCCTCCTCCTCCTCCTCCTCCTCCTCTGAGGCCAGAGGGGTGTCCCCCCAGCTCGCGAGCGTTCACAGTATTGCGTGCAGCCTAGTTGAACCTCTCGACGAATGCTGTACGGCGCGCGTTGCCCAGAACCTCGCACAGCAGATGTACGATCGTTCGAGGTAGTGTAGCTGCACGTGTGTCACACAGTGTTTGGCTGCTAGCATCCCAGCACTCGCGCGAGGCCGAGTCCTATCCTATCCTATCCTCCCGCCGCCGTCCCGTCCAAGACCCGCGGCACGGCCGTCGCGCCGGCCTGGGAGGTCGGCGAGGGTACGGGGGGGCTTCCTCTCCTGCTCCCACCTCTCTCCTCCCGCTGCAAGCTTCGTCTCCCCAGGCGGCCAGTGATCTTGCTCGTTCTCGGTGTCCTCGGTGGCTCGCGCTGGGGAACGCCGTGGCGGACGAGCTAGCGGGAAGCTGCCCTCGAAGCCCGCGTGCCGTCTCATTCTCGATTCAAGGCTGAGGAAGGTGCGCAGAAGGCTCGGCTTGTACGGAGGCGCCCCCTTCGTGCGAGCCTGGAGGCCATCCACGCAGAGAAGATGTCTGCCGCCGTGGTCAAACAAGTCCGCTGTCCCCCGCCCTCTGCTTCTGATCTTGCTCTCTTTGCTCCTCGCACGCCCTGTCCGAGGATGGAAGACTTGGCTCGAGCAGCCATGGTTGCGCATCCCAGGCGACGCTCACTCACTGGAGATGCAGCCCGTGCCCAGAGCTAATCAGGCAAGAGCCCTGTTTCTCTACATTGTCGAAGGGCCAGTGTATGCACATCGGATTCGGCTGGACCCATTCCAGCCACACGTCGCTGTTTAGTCATGCGTTGAATCTTCTGTTTTGCAGCTCGTGCGGGTTCTACGGGAGCCAACGGATGCGGAGCCTCACCAGCGAGCGTCTGTCCTCCCCGAATCTGGGCCCCGAGCGCAGAGTGCAGCCCACGCGCAAGAGGCGGAGCTGTTTGATCAAGATATACGAGGATACGCTCCTCGAGTAGAAATAGCCTTAACCAGAGCCTTGCCGAATGCTCGTGCTGTTGTGTGTTCGGTCATGCCTCCTCGCTTCGCGTTCGGTCCTATCTTATCCTATGCTATCCTATCCCATGCTATCTTATGCTATTCTATCCTGTCCTGTCCTATCCTACCCGATCCTTGGGAGAGAGAGTTTTTTGCAACCTCGTTGATGCGTCTTGGGATTGCAGTGGCCCTCCTTCTCCTCTTCCTCCTCCTCCTCCTTCTCCTCTTCCACCCCCCTCTTCTCCTCCATCCCTTGTCCTTTGAATTGACTCCTCCCCGTCGCACCCCCAGACGTGTCGGTAGAGCGGGCCATGCGTGTCGCCTGGGACTTCATTACCGTTTATGATGAAGAAACTTGAAACTTGGAGTCGTTTCGAGGATGGAGGGTGGGTCGTTTTCGACCATGTGGCTCTCGCCTTAGCGCCGCACGCATTCGTCCTAAAACTTTGCAGCCGTTTCCAGGATGGAGGGCAGGCCGTTTTCAGCACGTGGCTCCTGGAGGGAGGGAGGGAGGGAGGGAGGGAGGAGGAGGAGGAGGAGGGAGGGAGGAGGGAGGGAGGGAGGGAGGGAGGAGAGGAGGGGAGGAGGAGGGAGGAGGAGGAGTCTCAAACGTCTGCCGCGTTTTTTTGAGGACGGAGGGCGGGCCCTCTCCAGACTGTGTGGCTCCCGCCCGACCGCCGCTCTCCCCTTCTTTTGGAAGCTCTCGGCAGCACTTTCGAGGACGGAGGGCGGAGCGGTTTCAGAGTGCGGCTCCTGTTTCGGGAGGCTCTTCATGGGGGGGGATCCCATGGGGGGATCGGATCCCAGGGGGGGGGATCCCATAGGATCCCCTGGGGATCCCACGGGGGGGCAGGAGGGGATTCCATGGGGGGGATCCCCTCCTGCCCCCCCCTGGGATCCCCCCCCATGGAGAGTCTCCCGACTGTTGTCGCGCGCCGCCAGCTTCGAGGATTGGAGGGTGCCTCCTTTTCATCATGCGGGTCTCGCCGAAACGCCGCGCGCACTCGTCTTGAACGTTTTGCAGAATTTGCAAGGGCTCGTACGGTTGAAGTTCCAGAAATCGTGTTCTGGCATGGTTTAAGGTCGTCAGGACGCAAACAGTCGCTTTGATTCGCGGTGTGAGAGTCCCAGGAATTATGTCCAGGCTCGATCTAGGAATGTCGGGGCGCACCAATCACGTTGATTCGCGGTGTTGAATTCAGAAGGAATTTGTTGTGGTACGGTTGAGACTTCTGACAGAGTTGTCTTTCAAATAAGGCCCATCCCGCAATGGACATAATTACTTATGGGACCTGTGACGAGGGAGCTTGGGGGACACTGTGTATTGCAAAATCGTTGATGCGTCTTGGGTTTACACTGGTCCTCCTCCTCCTCCTCCTCCTCCTTTCTTTTTCTTCCTCTCCGTCCTCCTCCTCCTCCTCCTCCTGCGTCTTCCTCCTGCGCCCTCCTCCTGCGCCCTCCTACTTCTCCTTCTCCAACACTTCCTCCTCCTCCTCCTCCTCGCCCACGTGCCTCCCTTTCTGCTCTCCCCCTTCGTTCGGGCGCGGAAGCGCGCGCGAGGGGAGGGAAGAGGGAGCGAGGAGCAACGTGAAGAGGGAGCGGAGGGATGAGTGCAGGCCAGGGCAGTGGGAGGAGGAGGGCGAGGCGGAGGAACCGGAGGAGAAGAGGTCGGTGGGGGAGGAGGAAAAGGAGAGGGTCTTCTCCCCCTCCCCCTCCTCCTGCCCCTCCCCCCCCTTCTCCCCTCCCTCCCTCCCGCCCTGGCAGGCGCCACCCTGCATCTCTTTTAAGACTCGCGAGTCTCTCCCAGTCGGGGCTGTCCTAACCTAACCTAACCTAACCTCTCCCTCCCTCCTTCTCTCCTTCCCTCTCTCGCTCTTCCCCTTTTCTTTCATCTCCCTCCTTGACTCCCCCCCCTGCCTCCCCTCCCCCTCTGCCGCGCCTCCCCTTCCCCGCGTCGTCGGTGCCCGGCGTGCTGGCCGCAAGTGCACGGCGGCGCCAGCGGAGGAGGAGCCATGGGCGCGCCGCCACCGCCGCCGCCGCCGCCGTCGTCGTCGTCCTCGTCGTCGTCGTCGTCGTCGTCGTCGTCGTCAGCGTCGTCGTCGTCGTCGTCGTCAGCGTCGTCGTCGTCGTCGTCGTGGTCGTCGTCATCGGCGGCTGCAGGTTCGGCGTCGTCGTTACTGTCGTCGTCGTCGCCGTCGTCGTGCTCGTCGTTGTCGTCGTCGTTGTCGTCGTCGTCTTCGTCGCCGTCGTCGTCGTCGTCGCCGTCGTCGCCATCGTCTTTGTCGTCGTCGTCGTCCTCGTCGTTCTTGTTGTCGTTGTCCAGTTCGTAGTCGTCGTCTTCGTCGTGGTAAAGAGGGGATGATGATTAGGATGAGGACCAGAGTAGTACACAGCATGCATCGACGATGCTGTAGTACACCCTCCCATCCCAAGTCTTCCTCCTCCTTC